TCTTAAGACCGACTACGACGACACCGACGGCTGCACCGACGACAACGACTACGACGACACCGACGACGTTTCCGACGACTTCGACGACGACAACGACGCCGACGCCGACGACGACGACGACGCCAACGAAAGCGACGACGAGGGAGGAGGAAGGACGACGACGGCGACAACGACGACAACGACGACAACGACGAGGGAGGAGGGAGGGCGACGACGCGAACGACGAAGAAGGAGGAAGGACGGCGACGCCGACGACGACAACGACGAGGGAGGAAGGAAGACGACGACGACAACGACGACGACGACGACGACGGCGACGGCGACGAAATAGGAGGGACGACGACGAGACGCCGACGACGGACGACGACGACGACGAGGGAGGCGGCGGCGGCGGAGCTCTGCAGGTGCACGAGTCTGGCTGCTCAAACACGGGGCATTCGCAGGACAGCTCAAGCGCCTAGAGTGCGCTAACGAATAGCGGTGCATTCGCACGGAGGGGGGGGGCCCGCGTGCCACGGCTAACCCAGCTCGGAGATAACCCTGGGGCCAGGCCACGCGTAGGCCTCGACAAAACTACAAGACGACCAACACACAGGAGAAGTCCCAGGAGCACCCAGGAGGAACTAAGGCACAGGAACGCAGAACCGAAACTCAAAAGCCAAAAAAATTGGGCCCAGGAGAGGGGGACCGTAAATTCGGGGCCGAGGCTACCCCAACAGCATTGTCACCGTCGGGCTCCTCCTTCCCCCCTCCTTACGGGGCCATTAATGAGACGGAACATCGCATCGTCAAGGGAGGAGGAAGAGGTGAGGCGAGGACGAGTGGAGGTGGAGGTCCCGCCTCGTGCGGGTGCATCTGCTGGTGGCTGGCGGGCTCGTGCAGCAGGGCGTGGTGGCGCCGCTCTGATGGCAGCGCCTCGAACTGGACGGGTCTCAGAATGCCTCAGGTCACTCACTAGCTGAGGTTCTCCATTCCATCCAGCGCCAACTGCATCAGCCTCTCCTGGTGGGACCGCGGAGGCGTCCCTCTCTTGATGCTCGCCCCGATCTGGACGAGGCCCGCGAGTACTTCCACTTGGATCCCTGACCCGCTGGCTTCCAGGAAGATCTTCATCGTCGCCCGATCGTGCGTGAAGCCTATCTTGCAGAACCTGCAGTGAGAGTCCAGCGTCTCGTTGGTCATGCTCTGGTCGGCCTTCACTGTGTCCATGTAGGTCTTGATTCTCGCTGCCGTCTGCGCGCCCACTCGATCTCCTTGCTGCTGCAATGCCCCGACTAATGTGAGCCATAAGTGAGGATGTGGTACACCGAGCTTGTCTAGCTCCACGACCCTCACTCCATTCTGAATCACGAGGGAGGAGGAGGAAGGACGACCACGGCGACAACGACGACGGAAACGACCACGACGCCAAAGAGGACGACGACGACGAACACGAGGAAAGACAGAGGACGACGTAGGCGACGACGACGACGACGACGCGGGAGGAGGGAGGACGGCGACGACGACGACGACGACGCAAGAGCGCGCGCGCGCACGCTTTTGTTGAAAATCCGTGTTGCGAAACCCTGGATTTTTATAGTTTCTTTGGAGACACGATTTTGAAATCCTTCCGGTCCCGATTGGTTTTGAAGGTTTTCGGCCTACGCGCGCGACGACGCGCGCGTCTGCATTTCGTCCCATCTGTTGCAGAGGATTCTCGCGACGGCACACGCGCAAGGGCGTTCGACAGATTTCAACATGCGCGCGCGAAGCCCGTTTAAATAGCATTTTGTGAAAATCTTGAAAAACCTATGGTTTTCTTAAGATTTTGCAAAAGCTCGCGAGGAAGCTTTTTTAGCAAATCAGTGTTGCGAAACCCTGTGTTTTGGTATGTTTTTCGGGAACTCGATTGCGAAATCCTTCTGGCACCGAAGGTTTTTGAAGGATTTCGGCATGCGCGCGCGACGACGCGCGCGTGTGCATGTCATTCCATTTTTTGCCAGGGATTCGTGAACAAGTGTTATGTTAGAACAACAAATGTCACCGCATAGTGTTTTTTACAAGGGAACCCCAGGGGGGGATACCGGCCGGCCTGGGATAGTGTAAATTCATATTCATGATGGACATGTGGTCAGAATCGTATATGATCTACATACCCGAAAGGGGTACCGATAACGCCGGGGGGTAGATCCTATTCTGTTTTTTAAAAAAGAAAATATATAGTGAGCCCTCTGTGTGGTGCAAGCTACGTTGTGCAATATGTGGTGTGCAACCTACGTGGAGCAATCTAGGTGGTGAAAAATATGCGATGCAAGCTACGTGAGGCAATCTAGGATGTGCACTATATGTTGGCCACTAAGTTGTTCAATATCTGATGTGCAATCCAGGTTGTGCCATCCATGTTGGGCAGTATATGTGATGCTCTCTTTGTGGTGCAACGTATGGTCTGCAATATATGCTGCGCAATCTATGTGGTGCAATCTAGGTTGTGCAATATGTATTGTGCAACCTGTATGGTGCAATCTGGCGGCGACGATCGGCGACGGCGGCGACGGGGCGGCGACGGCGGCAACATAGCCGCCAGACGCACAGGCAGGCCCAGTTACTGGCGGCGACGGGGCGGCGACGGGCACAACAGAGCCGCCAGACCGATACACAGGCCCAGTTCCTTAGAAAAGAAATAAGAAACCCTAAGTGCAAGCACTGTTTGGAGATAAACGTCGAGCACGCCAAGCACCCCTGTGATGAATGCAGAGGGCTGCGGATCAATCTGCCAGCGGCAAGTTCCGCCACCGTGCCAGCCCAGCATTCTGAGTGGCGACTGTTTGAGGGGGCACGGGAGGCCGTCACGTGTGACACCTCGTGTTCCCAGGCTTGGGAGGGCCGTGATGAAGATGATGAGGGTGAGCATGAGGCTGAGGCTGAGGATGAGGATGAGGATGAGGATGGGGATGATGATGATGATGACGAGGACGAGGAGGACGAGGAGGATGAGGATGATATGATGCTGATGCTGATGCTGATGCTGATGGTGATGATGATTGATGATGATGATGATGATGATGATGATGATGATGATGATGATGATGATTGATGATTGATGATGATGATGATGATGATGATGATGATGATGATGATGATGATGATGATGATGATGATGATGATGATGATGATGATGATGATGATGATGATGATGATGATGATGATGATGATGATGATGATGATGATGATGAAAATGGTAATGATGATGATGGCGAGGAGGAGGAAGAGGAGGATGAGGAGTAGGAGGAGGAGCAGGAGGCGGCGGAGGAGGAGAAGGAGGAAGAGAAAGGCTGTCACAGTTGACACATTTCATTTTCATCTCTTGCGGAGCCCTAATGGAGTTCATTTGACCGGTCTTGGGGCTACCTTGGTCTCCTGTGGGGCAGTCTTCAGGGCTCCTTGTGACCGTCTTGGGGCCGAATTGGGGTTCTTCGGTCGTCTTGGGGCTCCCTTGGGCCGTTTCTTGGGGCGATCTTGGCCGTATCGGGGGGTGTCTGGGGACCGTCTCGGGGCAGTCTTTGGCCGTCGAAAGGCCTTCTACGGTCGTCTTGGATCCCCCTGGGGACCCTCTTGGGCCTGTTGGGGCCGTCCGTCTTGGATGCCACTTGGGCCATCGTGGAGTCCTAGTGGGCCATCTTGAGACCCTCTGGGGGGCCTCTTAGGCCGTCTTGGGGCCATATGGGATGCTTCTTGGGCCGTCTTGAGCTGAGAGAAGCTCGAAGAGGCGAGAAGGCGAACATTTGTCAAACACCGAAGGGAGCTCAACGGTTTGGGCGTCTTCGGACCCTGTTGGGGGTCCTCTTGTGGCCCTCTAAGGCCCTCTTGGGCCGCCTTGAGGCCATCTTGGGCCGTCTTCGAGGCATCGTGGCCCATCTTGGCGGCCTTAGTTGCCTGCCTGGGCCGTCTTGGAAACTCGGGAGGCGGATCCATAGTTCATTACCTGGGATCGTGGCCTCTGGAGCGCAAATGTTTCATCGTCTTTTGCCCAGATATCGTGGCCTCGGGAGGGGGGACGAAAAAAAACAAATGTTACCTGACAGCCCTTGGCATACTACCACGCCTCAACGTACCAGGGTGCACGGTGGCGGATTCACCGTCACCTTTGCCGTTGGAGCTGCCAGCACTCCCGCGCCGAGCCTGCGTGGATCGTCCACCGACCCGCAGCGAAGTTGCGCCTTCTGGGACGGCTTGGACATCAAGGGCAGCGTGTGCCCGCAGCAGTGGCAGGGCCAGTACGCCGGAACTGCCTCGTGCAAGTCGTGCTGGGAGGGAGAGGACTGCGGGTGGACTTGCGACCTGACGGACGGCAGCAAGGCCAGCGTCGACCTGCAGGCGTACGTCCACGCGTCTCACGGAGAGGGCTACTGCGCTCGGAACCCGTCCAACGACCCGTGCCTCGGCTGGCAGGTGTTCGGCGATGGCTGCACCGATTGTGCAGCCAGTGGCATGAGCAGCAGCGCCCAGGCGCTGCTTCCCTGCAGTCCACCGACGCGCAGCGAAGCTGCGCCTTCTGGGACGGCTTGGACATCAAGGGCAGCGTGTGCCCGCAGCAGTGGCAGGGCCAGTACGCTGGGACTGCCTCGTGCAAGTCGTGCTGGGAGGGAGAGGACTGCGGGTGGACTTGCGACCTGACGGACGGCAGCAAGGCCAGCGTCGACCTGCAGGCGTACGTCCACGCGTCTCACGGAGAGGGCTACTGCGCTCGGAACCCGTCCAACGACCCGTGCCTCGGCTGGCAGGTGTTCGGCGATGGCTGCACCGATTGTGCAGCCAGTGGCATGAGCAGCAGCGCCCAGGCTTCTGCTTCCCTGCAGTCCACCGACGCGCAGCGAAGCTGCGCCTTCTGGGACGGCTTGGACATCAAGGGCAGCGTGTGCCCGCAGCAGTGGCAGGGCCAGTACGCCGGGACTGCCTCGTGCAAGTCGTGCTGGGAGGGAGAGGACTGCGGGTGGACTTGCGACCTGACGGACGGCAGCAAGGCCAGCGTCGACCTGCAGGCGTACGTCCACGCGTCTCACGGAGAGGGCTACTGCGCTCGGAACCCGTCCAACGACCCGTGCCTCGGCTGGCAGGTGTTCGGCGATGGCTGCACCGATTGTGCAGCCAGTGGCATGAGCAGCAGCGCCCAGGCTTCTGCTTCCCTGCAGTCAACCGACGCGCAGCGAAGCTGCGCCTTCTGGGACGGCTTGGACATCAAGGGCAGCGTGTGCCCGCAGCAGTGGCAGGGCCAGTACGCCGGAACTGCCTCGTGCAAGTCGTGCTGGGAGGGAGAGGACTGCGGGTGGACTTGCGACCTGACGGACGGCACCAAGGCCAGCGTCGACCTGCAGGCGTACGTCCACGCGTCTCACGGAGAGGGCTACTGCGCTCGGAACCCGTCTAACGACCCGTGCCTCGGCTGGCAGGTGTTTGGCGATGGTTGCACCGATTGTTAGGAAGTCGGGTCGCCTCAATCCTCCTGCATGCAAGCAGCTGGTCCATCCGAGTAGAGCTTCTCCTAACGGGCCCAGGGGGCGCGCCTCGTTCGTCGCGCCGACAGCGCGCGACGCCGTACAGCTTGTGTAAGGGAATTTGACGTGCAGAGCGAGTGTTCTGCAAGCTTCAGTGTCCACGGTGGCAAAGATGAAGACATTCGCGTCATCCAGTTGGTCGGAGGTTAATAGAACCCGCACGTTGCCAAGTCGATTAGCGAATTGCCACTTGTTGATTCTCGAGAAGGTTTGCGGCCGCATGTTTGCGGGCTTGCGCCCGCCAGGTGTGGTCCCCGGGTCGTTTTTACTACAGGGTGTTTTGCGGAAGGGGGTTTTGCCCCTGAGTTGCAATCTATGTGATGTATGCGATGTGGTGCAATGTATGTGTTGCACTCTATACGTGTGATGCAAGATGTTTGGTGCAGCATGTACGGTGCACTCTGCGCAGTGCATGCCATTCGATGCAAGCTATGGGGCGCCATCTGCGTGGTGCAACCTGTTGGGTGTGGGCAATGTGTGCTTCGAGCCGCCAGCAAACCGTATTAGGTGCAGCATTTGGGGTGCACTCTGCGTAGTGCATGCCATTCGATGCAAACTATGGGGCGCAATCTGCGTGGTGCAATCTACTGAGCGCAATTTGCGTTTGCAATCTATGGGGTGTGAACCACTCCGCTGAACTTGAAGTCGTCATCTCCACTGCTCGCGCAAACATCCCACCCACCCACCCGCAACTTGGTTTGCAAAACCTCTCAAGACCGACTACGACGACACCGACGACAACGACTACGACGACACCGACGACGTTTCCGACGACTTCGACGGCGACAACGACGCCGACGACGACGAAGACGACGACGACGACGCCAACGAAGGCGACGACGAGGGAGGAGGAAGGACGACGACGGCGACAACGACGACAACGACGACAACGACGAGGGAGGAGGGAGGACGGCGACGACGCGAACGACAGAGAAGGAGGAAGGACGGCGACGCCGACGACGACAACGACGAGGGAGAAGGGAAGACGACGACGACAACGACGACGACAACGACTGAGCGCAATTTGCGTTTGCAATCTATGGGGTGTGAACAGTGTGTGCTTCGCGCCGCCAGCCAACGGACGGGGACGCCCACGAGGCGCCCACGGACGGCGGCCAGGCGAAGCCCTGGCAACCCAGCCAAGGCGCGAGGCGCCCCCACGGGCGGCGCCAGCGCAGGAGGCGCCCGCGGGCGGCGACCCGGCGAGCGCCGTGTGAACCCGCCCGAGCACTTGCGCAGAAGCCGCGCAAGCTGCTGCTAAAGATCTGGCCATCGCTGCAGACGTGGGACCCCTGCCCCCCTGCAGAGTCCTGCAATGTGGGACCGGGCTGTGGCGGAGTGGGTTTCGGCCCCACACCCGGTTTTGTCGTTCTTTGCGGGGGGTTATTGTATGTGCATAGCGGTGTGGAAATTTCCCCCGCCCGTTTTTCCACATGGAGAGCTTACACCACCGCTGGGGTGGTTCACCCCGTTTTATGACTACGGCGAGCGGGTTCTTGTGGTCTGGGACACCTCGCCTCATCGCAGCATCGCTTGAGGAAGCGCTCTCTCCGCGCATCTCGATTCACAAGCGCGCCGTGACAGAGGTCACAACCATTAGCCACGCTGCAGTAGTGCAAGCACTGTTCGGGGAAGAAACGCAGAATCGGCAGTCTGTGTCGACGGGGGCGCCCCCCGGCCCTGTCTGCGTCTCTTCGTCGTCAGCGGCGGGCGCTTTTCAGCGTCTGGTGACCTGGGTCTCCGATCTGGCCCGATCCGGCGCAGCCCCAGGCCGGTTCGGCATCGATCCGACTCGAGAAAGTCTTCGATTCGAGCTCTGGTTTCTGATTTGAGAGCCGACGCGGCGACTGCCGACTTGGCCCCGATTCCATCAGTTACGACGGGGTTCCGACCTCGACCCGGCTTCCCGATCCGAAGCTGGCCCCATGTTGGGCGGCCCTCGGGGCCGTGGGGGAGGCTCCGCTGGTGCGCTCATGTTCGTGATCATTAAGTCTCGGGTGTGTGCTTGTTTCGAATTGGAAGTGAGAAAAGAGGAAAGAGGAAGCGGAGGAAGGAAGAAGGAGGATGAGAGGGGACGAAGAGGGAGGACGGAGGAGAGGAGCGATGGGAGAGGATGTGTGAGTGAGGGAAGGTGGAAGGTTAGCTCTGTGTCGATCCTGTTTCTGCGTCTAGATCCGACATTCTCTGTGCCCCAGCCATGCCACACTTGGTGACTGCGGCGCTATCTTCATCCGTTGCTCTTTTGACTCGAGTGTCTTGCTGGGCGATCAGCTCTGTCCCACTGTTCACATCACCTGACAAGTTTGATCCATGGCAGGGTCGATTTTGTCCAAGGCGCCTACGGCGAACCAGCGCCGCCCCCTACGCCCATGCGGCCAAACATAAGCTAAATTCTGACCAAGCTATTGGACTATGTGTGTTTCCCAGCCGTTGTGGAACCCATTGGGGGAACAGTCGGGAGAGAGAGAGAAAAGAAGAGGAGAGGAATGAGGAGGAGGACGAAGAGAAGGAAGGGGAAAAGAAGGCCTGTCGAGGCCGTCTTGGGGCTTCCTGCGGGCTTCTGGGGAGCCTCTTGGAGGCCTCGTCGGGGCCTCTTGGGGGCCTCCTGGGCCGTCTTGTGAGCCTTTTCGGGGCCTCTGGGGGCTTTGGGGGCCTCAGATGGACCTCCTTGCCTTCGGAGGCCGTCTTGGGAGCCTCTCTGGGCAGTTGTGGGGCCGTCTTGCGGGCCTCTTGGGCTGTCTTGGGGCCCTCTTGGCCTGTCCTGCGGGCCTTGGAGGCCTCCTGGGTCGTCCAAGGGCGATCTTGGGAGCATATGGAGCCGGCTTGGAGAGCCGGAAGCCCGAAAGGGCGAACACACTAACATCATTGGAAGACCTGAGTCAAGGCAGTAATTTCTAGGCCTCCTGGAGTTCCTCTTGGAGCACTCTTGGGACCGCTTTGGGGTCATATTGGCCGTCTTGGAGGCGTCTTGGCGGCCATCTTGGAGGCGGAAGAAGTGAAGTTGGTTTATGTTTTTTCTGTGTGGCTGGCGGGTTGTGCCAGAGGCTGGTGGGAACCGTGTGGGAGGGTGCACAACAATATGTTAGCCAGCGTGGACCTCAAACAGTGTGTCTCTCGCAATAGATGTGGTGTTGCTTATGTTTTGCAATCTATGTGATGCAACCACGAGGAGCAATCGATGCTGTGTAATCTATGCGGTGCAGCTTACGTTGTGCAATCCGTTTGAGGAGCATACGATGCGCAATATATGTGGTGCAGTTGATTTCTACAAGCGAGTTGACACAATCCATGCTCTTGCAATCATACCACCCACCCACCCGCAACTTGGTTTGCAAAACCCATGCGGCGGCGATTGCGATACATGCTTGGTGTTGGTTTGTGCATCTCTGTGGCCGCGCTAGCCCGCGCATGCTTGCGCGCACAGCGGCCAGCTAGTTTGGCACGGTCGACGCGGCCGCGGTGTCGCTGACCCTTGGGCATTTCAGTGCGGGCATTTCAGTGCGGGTCGGTGACTTGGGCGGGCGCGGTATCATGGCGACACTGACAACGGTAGACATGATTTCGAGAGCAGCGGTGGTGACGGAGGTGGCGATGACGACGGCAAGGCCAATGACGGCGCCGTTGTTGATCACGCCCGCCGATACCGATGCTGATGTCCTCGCGTTGGCGGTGCAGCTTTTTGAAGGAGTTAGACGTGAGCGCGCGCGGCCGATACATGCGATTGGCCCGCGCAGTATTATTTGGCACGGATCATTCCCCCTCAAAAAAAACTTGCGCGCAAGGGCGTCCAGGGAGGAGTTCGACATGCGGCGCGAGAGGCGCGCTTGGCAGAAGTTGATGAACAGGTGGAAACCAAAAAAACATATGTGTGTTTGATTCCGCAAGAGCGCGAGCGCAAGTTGTTGTTGACATCTGATTGTGTAAAACCGTGCGTTTATATGTTTCCGGGGCACTCGGTTTTGAAACCACTACGAAACTTCAGGTTGTTCAATGATTTCGGAACTCGCGCGCGACGACGCGCGCGGCCACGGGACCATACTCCGACGCAAATTACATATCGCGAGAGGGGGATTGTTGAGTCCGGCTTCGGTAGGGGGGTATCGTCTATGTTGATCATTATTCTGGAAGCGAGAGTCCATGTGACGCAAGTATGTGGGAAAACCGGTGTTGTGCAATCTATATATACATATGTTTATATATATACATGTGTATATGGAGTAGTTCTCGTGGTGCAGCATATGTGGTGCGATTTATGTTGTGCTATTTATGCTGTACAGCAGACGTGGTGCAACACGTGTTGTGCAACGTTTGGGGTGCAATCTATGTCGTGCAATCCACTCTGCTGAACTTGAAGTCGTCATCTCCACTGCTCGCGCAAACATCCCACCCACCCACCCGCAACTTGTTTTGCAAAACCTGTTAGGACGGACTACGACGACACCGACGACAACGACTAGGACGACACCGACGACGTTTCCGACGATTTCGACGACAACGACGCCGACGACGTCGAAGACGACGACGACGACGCCAACGAAAGCGACGACGAGGAAGGAGGAAGGACGACGACGGCGACAACGACGACAACGACGACAACGACGAGGGAGGAAGGAGGACGGCGACGACGCGAACGACGACGAAGGAGGAAGGACGGCGACGCCGACGACGACAACGACGAAGGAGGAGGGAAGACGACGACGACGACAACGACGACGACGATGGCGACGAAATAGGAGGGACGACGACGAGACGCCGACGACGGACGACGACGACGACGAGGGAGGAGGAGGAAGGACGACCACGGCGACAACGACGACGGAAACGAC